GACTAAACCTATGGCATTATAGGGGCTATGTCAGCATTGGCAAGATAAAGCTAGTGGCATTTTAGGGTGCAATTCTATGCATGTATAGACAGGAAAAAGGTACACATTTCTGGAAGACAGAATTTTTCTGCCTGAATATACATTGTATCAGGAGAAGGGTATAAATGTGAGAGGATGAATACCATCAAGGTCCAGGAAGAAACTCAAAAAATAAGGAGATGGAAAGTACCACCAAGATATTAGAAGTCCAGAATGCAATTGAAGGAGTACAGTACTGTAAGGAGATAAACACTACTCATGGTCCGTTGAACTGATTTTCTCTTTTCTACTCAGTTCAATATAAAAGTCTAAAATAATTACATTTTCTTTCCCAATATTTGCCACCAGTACTAACACATAAATAATAAATAGCACCAAACACAGTGGAACTTCTCAGTAAACATGCACATGGTTGTGATATGCATTTCTTAATACTGTGGGGGTTCTTTCTTACATCAATAATATAAATAATCTGGCACTTTTCTCAGCTTTTCAATGAAATTCTTACTAATTCACTTTTTTAATTTTGCAAGTAAAGAGCCACATGTATTACATTTGTTTTATATGAGATTATCCTTTATCCTTATTTTTCTGGTTATTGTAAAATTTTCTTTAAATGCATTTTTATTACAGAGGATACATCATAGCAACTTCAAAAGCTTTACTAAGAAATGCATTTTGTTTAGAAATCTCTCTTGCATAGATAACAGCTTCTTCACACACAACCATCCGGTGACAGGAACAGTACAAATTGAAATTTAAGTTAAAACTATTGTGTACCCAAAGAACTAAACACAGAATAAAAGTATGTTTCTATCTCGTTCTGTAAACATTTGCTGCTGCTTCTTGTCATTGTCATAATTATCACCATTATAATTCATCAATAATGTGCTATCAGTGTACACTGTACTGAGAACTTACACTAACAATGCAATAGAATCCTGTTCACAATGAGCTTCTCTGTTTAAAAAAATGGATGGAGGAAAGAATGTGAGCAAATGCCTGCTTCTAAAGAGGGAAAAAATCAGTAACTCACCCTAATGAAAAGAAAAATTGACTTTAAAGTTCCACAGAATTAATTTTTTTTGAAGCAGTTCAGGTTTCTATACTTTCTTCTTCACATAATGAAAGTGCTTTCACTCAACTAACCAAGGAAACAGCAGTGGACATGAGAAGGCTCCACAGTATTGTACTGTGCCCAGCAAAAGTCCCACTCATTCCAGCCCAAGAAGTAAGTTACCATCTTTGAAGAAGCTAACTCACTCAACCTGTTTGTCTTCTTGCAAGGGTAGGCAACACCTACAGCCCCAATAATCCCTTATCAGCCCTGATGGCTGAAGATGATGGTATTTTTAATTCAAACCATTTAGAGAGCATGAGGTTGCCCATCCTTGACTTACTTAAACCAAAATGGCATTTGAAAGCAGTTTGGAGAAGCCTGCATGGGCATTACATGAGATCTGCACAAGCACAATGCATTCTTCCACAAAAAGTGATTTTAAGATGTTAACAGAACTATTCTGCAATTCATAAACATTGCTTGGCGTGCCATGAGATAGTTTAGATTCCCAACTGTAAGGTCGGAGACAATGTTCTGACCTTGGAGCTGGGAATCAGAGTTCTCACTGCACCCTTTCCTTTTCCCCTCATTGCAACACAAAAATCTGCACCAGCTCCTCTCCAAAACGATGAAAGCAACCCCAGGGAAGCAGGGAGAAGGAGAAAATGGAGAAGGTGGAGAGTGGAGAAGGTAGCCTTTGCCTCCCACTCTAAAATGCTCCAGCAAGATGGACATCTAGCAAAATGAAGATCTGGAGAACAGAGGCAAAGATTGCCTCTTCTACTTTCCCCACTCTGCACTGGATGCTCAGGCTCTTACAGGAATTCCAACAAGATTCCTATGCTGACTTTGAGCGTGAATGCCCTCCCAATGTGGTATACCTCAATAAAACACATAACATTGGTGGGTTATTCTGTTAAGCAGGGGATTGGGCCTGATGGCCTTATTGGACCCTTCCACTTCTACAATTACATGTTTCTATGACTATCATCAAAAATGATAAAAATACAAGACAGACAGTAATACAGTAACAATAAAAACAAAAAACAGAATCAGCAATGAAAACAGTACTCATATTAGGAAAAGACTAGAGGAAAATATGTTTTACAAGCCTTCTTAAAAACTTGCAAGTTGGAGCATGATGGACCTCAAATGTTAACTTGTTCCAGAGGTGTGAGGCCACTGTAGAGGGCAGCTCTACATACAGCACATTGCTGTAGTCCACTCTAGACAACACTAGTGCATGGATAACTGAGGCAAGTTCCATCTATTCCAGACAGGATTGCACTCTTGAACCGCACATCCTCCTGGCTTCCCTGGTTAGCACAGAGTCAAGAAAGACTCCCAAACTACAAACCTGCTCTTTTAGAGCAAGTACAATGCCATCTAACTTGAGATTTAACTAAAAAACTATTTATAAAAATAAATCTAAGACCAGTTGTAAAGCTCCATCAAGAGTACTTGGTTTCCCATTTTGTCTGGATTAGGTTACAGTTTGTTTATCCTTAACTATGACAAAGCAGCCTCCAGATACTGGTTCATGAGTTCAAAAGTCTTCCTGGGATATCAGAGGTGTAACTGAATCTCATCCATATATTGATGTCAAGAGATTTGGACTAAAGTGAATCTCATAGCAGTTTCCTGTAGATGTTAAGAAGTATGGGGAACAGAATGAGGCGATGGGGTACTAGAAGGTTCAACAGCAATGGATTAGAGCAAAAGTCACCCATCACTACCTTTGAAGACCACTCTTTCAAGTGCCACTTTAGAACTGTGATTCCCAAGCCCAATTCAAATAAATAATTCAGATAAATAATCCAGAAGGGTACCATGGCTAATGGTATCAGAAGCAACTGAGAGGTCCAGAATAACCAACACAGTTGTACTCCATCCAGCCATCTATATCCCACAATATCAGTCAAGGTGGCCAAGCCTGCTTCAGCCCAAAAACCAGGTCTGAAACCTGACTGGAATTGATTGAAATATTTAAACTGATTTAAATAATACTCTCTAGACTCTAGAAATCAGTTGACAAAAAGGATCACTAACAAAGTAAAAAAAAAATCACCACCCACAACATGAGCTATTTGTAACACTGTTAAAGAATACAGAAATAAGACTTGAAAGATTCACAGACCTTGTTATCTGAGCAAGAGACTAATAATTACTAAATGACACAAATCATACCTACAACTTCAGTATGGGAATACCACCATTAGACATGTATAGAACAGAGTGAAAAAGTCTAACCATAGAAAATTGTCAACCAGTACTGGTTCTCTACTTCCAAAGTGCCTCTTGAAACTCTAATAAATATGAAGAGATTAGGAAGTCTAACAGAAGGAACATAAATATAAGAGTCATGCTGCACAAGACCAAGTATTCATCTAGGTCAGCTTTCTGTTCCCAGCCAACCAGCTATGATCCCACAAGTAAGATAAGAGTACAACAGCATCCTCCTGCCTATGCTCCCAGGTACACTGCCTTTGAAACTGGACTACAAGCCAGTAGGACTAGTAGCCACGGATAGCATTTTCTGCCATTAATTTGTCCAATCCCCTTTAAACATTGCCTAAATTCTTAGACATCACTACATCTTGTGGGAGTGAATTCCATACTTTAACTATACACTGTGTGTAGAAGTACTTGTATCTGTTCTGAATTCTTCCATCATTCAGTTTCATGGGATGACCAATATTTACAGTGTCTCCCTTTCCACCTTCTTCAGACAATGAATACTTTTACATAACTCTATCATATCTTCCCTTACCCTTTTTCTAGCCTTGTTGGTCAAGAAATAGTTGTTTGAGTTTAAATCCAGTAATTTCTCCCTCCCCCACCTTTGAAGTTTCGCACAGTTTTATAATTTACTCTATTTCTATGCCTTTCAATAGATGAATCTCAGAACCCAAAAAACTTACTCTTACTAAGAGTGCTTTCTACATCTAATCTAATCAACTGAAAAGCAAACTTGGTGGCAACAAGTTTCAGCTATACAGTTATATTCTAATTTTTCTATGCCCTTTAATAGCCTATGTGCAGCCTGAAAGAGTAATTTTCCATTAATGCAAGTTTATTGAAAGCAATTGTTGGAAGTCTTTTCTTTCTGCTACTAGCCATATTCATTTGCTAAGCTTTGAGAACTTTCAACTCAGAATATATACAATTCTTTGTAATAAAATATTGAGGAACACTGAAGTGTAGCACTGAACTTCCTCAAGAGTACCACACACTTTTTAAGATAGAGATACTGTGGTAAAATCTTAACAAAACATTGATGTTTACCACAAAAAGTAACATTCAGTATCAGTAGATTATTATCTATCCAATTAGTGTGGTATACAAATAGAAAGACAAATTTGATTCTAGTTTACTGACAGAAGATCTACTAGCCAATATGACAAATGTCTGAAGTAAGTACTGGGATACATTTTTTGGCAAGTCTTCTGTAAATTTTATAAACCATACCATGTAATTACAACAACTACTTTTCTCTCTCTATTTCTAGCATGTTTATAATAGTTTTTCACATTTCAAAGCAAGCTAGAAAATAGCTATTGATTCTTACACAATTCTACACATCACAGAATGGATTAGCCCTTTAGATATTTTTATGTATATTGTAGTTGCATTCCACAGAAATGTCAGTTTTCTTGAAAGGTATTTTGTAATCCACATATGAACTTTAGCCTCTTTTCATTCCTCCCCCAGCCTCAGCCTATGATGTCCTGCTCCCTTAGTGTGCAACCTTAAAATCTATTTCCTCATCACAGATCTCAGTGTAAGAAACATCTAGAAAGGGAGAAGAAGGCAAAAGACAGAGCTTGATACAGTGAGAAAAGGCATTCCAGCGTTTTATTACATCTACTGTAAAACCTGCTGAATATTGTAACAAACTTACCAGACAGTTGTTTCCACTTGACTGTCATGCAGTTGCCTATTGTCCAACTGAGCAAAGAGAGGGAAAAGGACTTGTATTCCTCCTATTGAATGAATTGCGCTGTGAATCGAATGAGTCACAATTGCTTTGACATCCTACATTAAAAAAAAGAAAAAATTAGTTCTACTCTACCTGGCCTCCATATACTATAATACTAATAGCATTACTTATATCTCAGTTTTCAAACATTTATTATCAAGTGGATAATTGCACTTTTGAATCTTATTTCTTTTAATGGGAAAGACTGAAACATATGTTCCTTTCTGTTCTGAGCTGAGTATCCCCTCCCATCAGTAACAGACTCACAGTACTTCTTGCCAAATGCCTTATTTTTCTTATTGGACAACCACATGAGCAGCTGGAGCCGTGGGGTAAGACTAGGGGACCTGGGAGGCCCCTTCTGACTTGTTTCTATGATTCTGTTGTGAGCTGAGTACTTCCTCAGTAACAGACTCACCAGCACTTCTTGCTAAATGTCTTTATTTTACCTGTAAGACTCTGCACATAGACAAAACGAAATGTTGAACCCTCTCTGGCCCCCTTCACACAAAGCTTTGCTTATGAATCCTTTATATCTGTCTCTAGAGGGAGGAATGCTTCAGAAATGGACACACCTCCATTCCTCCCTCTGGGACCCCATTTGGGCCACCCTGTGACTGTGCCAACAGACTATCAGGTCCACTCCTCAGGAAGCTGGATCAGATAGACTCCCTATCTCTAAATCTCCCCCCTCAGGATGTTGTTGCAACAAGGACCAAGATGATACAAGTCCAGAGTCCAGTAACTAGTCTAGTCACAAGCACAAACTGTAATACCAAATAACTCAAGGGCAGAACCAGTAGTAGGTCACAGAACAAGGTAAAGTATTGCCAAATAGGCAAAAAAGCATTCAGAACAAGCAAGAGGTGAGGAGCCAACAAGACAAGTAACAGGAACTAGATAACAAAGCAAGGTCCAGAAATAACAAGACATAAAACAAGCTACAACACACTAAAAACAAAGGTTTCTAAAGCAGCTTCTGGAGGCAAGTGACTGCTCTTAAATAGCTCATTCTCAGGGGTCCCAGGCGGTACACATTAAGGCCTTGGGAGCTGCAACAGAGGCTGGGACTAATCCTGCATCCACCAGGGTTGTTATTCTGGTGCTAGGCCAACAGATGCAGCCGTGTAGGTGCCCAGATCTTGACATCTATCTAGTTCAGTATTTTCTAAGGTGAGTGGCAGTAATTCTCCAAGGTTTCATTTTTTTCTTAGCTGCGTCTGGAGATGAATGATGGATGTAGAGTGGTAAAGAAATTGTACAAAATTTGCACTTAATTGAGGAAAAAAGAAGAAGGGGACAGCAAAGAATGAGGTGGCTAGATGGAGTCACTGAAGCAGTCGGTGCGAGCTTAAGTGGACTCCAGGGAATGGTGGAGGACAGGAAGGCCTGGAGGAATTTTGCCCATGGGGTTGCGATGGGTCAGATGCGACTTCGCAACTAACAACAACAAATTGACTGAAGCAAGGATGTCTATAGCTGAAACATCATAATTCCCCATTCAGGGTATGCAAGGTCAAGGTGAAGTTCTTAATTCAGCACATTCCCTTCCAAGTGAGAAGATGAGTAGCATGCAAGAGAAATCCCAAGTTATCTAAATATATTGCAAGCCATCCTGAGATATTCTGTAGGGGATGGTATAGAAACGCTTTTAATTAATTAATTAATCATTGCAGAAGGATTCCTCTCTTTTCCTCTTACGCCTCCATGCAAAACATGTGCCCTAGCCTTTTCCTTTAGGTTTTTTTTTTCCTTCAGAGCCAAGCCCAAGGCAATCAATTCACCAGATAAAGAAATGTTAGGATAAGGCATACTGATGATTAAAAGACCCACAAAGAGAAACCAAATTGTACAAATTAAGAGCTGCTTTGAAAACACATTTAAAACATAACTAACGTAAAAGTTCAGGGGCCATTAAGAACACATACAGAACGCAACAGATACAAACCTGGAGCATGAGAGCATGCGGGGAGTGTACAAAAATTGAAGGGTTTTCCTTTGGTGAGGATTCAAGGCATAACTGAGCATCTGTAGCCTTAGCATTGTAAGTGAAGGCAATGCTACTTGCAAGTTTCCCATCATACAGAACCTGTTTATGGTGTTCAGCCAGATGAATATCACTCTCAGATTTAAATTTAAAAGTACTCTAAGAAAGAAAGCAAGAACTATAAGACACTGTGACAATTAAAAAATAAAGCTTTTATATAACATGGAAGAAGCAGCAGCAATGATAATCAGATTTAACATATTTAAATTTCATGGTCAAATTTAACTGTACAAGTCCTGGCAAATATTTATTACACACTGGTGACATCATATATTTTTTTCTTTTTTATAGAATTTTTTTTTATTTTTGCCATAGTAAAACTATTTACTCAGGATGCCATAGTGTGCATTTGTACCACCCCTAGTTGTCATCCTTTCTAGCTGCACAAAATAGTGTGTGCCTCTTCATGGGTTCTAAAGTCTTATTCCCAGGAGAGCTGGGTGTGCTCTCTGCAGACCTTTTGCTAAGTGACCTATGTACATTGCTTCACTTTTCCATAAAATCCTTACATTTGTGTATTGTTCTCAAAAGCAGGCCTGAAAGAATGCTTGGGGATTCTCAATAATAGTTCAGTTCTTGTGGTCTGTGACACAGGATATAATAGAGTAGCAGTGCTGTAAACCCACTGTTATTGGATTTAAATAACAGAGTAACTCACATTCAAGGGCTGAAATGTGGGTTATTGCATTGTCTGAACCCAGCTGCACTAACAAGTCATGGCTTGTTAGCCACAGAGTACCCATGAAGAGTGCCTATGGTTTGCTGTTAGGCTGTGAAATATGCAACATTCACAATGTTTTTTTTTACCTCAGCTAAGTTCAGACACTGCAATAACCTACATTTCAACAACCCACACTGAGCCCATACTTAACCCCTGGTGTGTGGTTACTGTGTACTCTGAATGCAGTCTTGGCTTGCTGGGTGCAGTGGTGGTCCAGGCATGTTTCTAGGGAAGTAATTACATCAACCCCAGTTTGACAGTTCCCCTCATATGCTGCTGTCATCTGAATGATGGTGTTGTTACTGCCAGCCTCTGACTGGTGGGGGCTGGCAGTTTTTTCATGGAGGAAGCCATTTATCTTTAATTTGGAATTTTCTAAATGGTGTTTCCCCTTCTGTTCCTGGGCTGACTGTATAAGTTCTGCAAAGCCATGCATGTTCCCATCAGGACTGAGTATTTCTTAAATTGACATCCACTGTCATACGAAAAACTATTTTTGAAACTGCTAGAATAAACGTATCTGGATATATAGAACTAGTGTAACAGCCTTTGAAGATCAGATGTTACCATGGTGAAATATATTGCAATTCATAACTTTTGCTTCTGTTCAACTGATTGAGCACTAGAGAAAATATTTAGTTACTACTATAACGGGTTGAAATCATTTGTCAAGGAAAATAATATTGCTGATGAGTACAAGCAAGTCACTAAATTAATGCAACATGTTTTTAAGAAGTTTGTCATTTCAAAATATCAATTTCAAATAGCCAATATAGTACACTGTTTAGAACTGCAGTCTAAATACCCTTATTTCAGAATAAATTCCACTTGAGAGTAGGACTAACTTCTGGCTAAAACTAAGCATACTATACATTTTTACAACATTAAGATTGCAACTAAAGATCATTAACTGCTGGAACAGAGGAAAGGTAATTTTATTTTATTTTATTTTCAACATGAGTCCTATGTTTCCTGAGGTGCTATAATTGCTCTGCACATTCTTGTTTTTCTTACCCATCCTAAGTAAGCTAATAGAATGGCAGGATAAACCAATACTGATTCATACATAGCTCCATCTAACCATTGCTTTTCATATGTTTTTCTAGGAAAGGCTTTCTATAATTGTTCACATAAATTCACAGATGTAATCTGAACTTTACTGTATATCTGTCAGTTGCAGAAAGATATAGATAATTCCTTTACTACAGATTATAGCTTTGCATCAATATTCTGTTACTTTTCTTTATTACATGAATTTATTTATGTGTATTTACCTTAGTGCAAAAGTTGGGTATCAGATGGATATACATAAAAATATGAATTCATAGTTATAATTTAAGAATATTTCAGTGGACTCCAAATATCATGACAGTTTGACTGTGTTAAACATTTAATTCAACAGGTATTTTTTCTGAACTGAAATTAAAATACACCACTACCTTATATCCAGGTCCTAGCTGATGTATTGCAAATATCTGTGCTGGGTTGAGAGCTTCAGTGAATACATAGACTGCCCCAAGCTGCCCACAAAACACCCTGTTTGCATCAGCAGTTTCAGATGATCCCAGAAAACATTTATCGTAACTCTGTATTAGAATATATATAAATGTTTAGAGCCATGTACAAACAAATATTCAGTTATAAACATGCAGAAAGAAAGACACAAGCTGTAGTAATACATTTTATTTTACTTTTGCCATACAAGTACAATACATTTTTTTTATAAAACTAAACTCTGCATCTTCTATAGTGGCCAGCACAATCCAAAGTGGCTGCCCTGAAATCAAAGGCTTATATGCATCTTATCAAGGGCTGAAATGTGGGGCCAAGGTCACCTCTGTGCTTCTCCAACCCTGAAAAACACTTAGACATATGATTTTGGCCAACTAAGTGTTTTCTCCTGCCTGCTAGGAGAAACAGTTGAGATTCTCTCAGGATATCTTGCACTGCTGTACAACTTCATTTCTTCCTGCTTCACAAAGTGTTTTTCCCAACACCAGCTCCAAACTCCATTTTCTAACCTCAGAGCAGCAGCCAGTGAAAAATGAATTACACTGACTGCAAGGCCAAAAGAAGAATGCTACAAATTTAGGGTCCCACCACCACCCTTGGACTACATTTCTGAGACTTGAGCTGGGACTCCAAAATTTTCGATGGCCGTCCTGATCGCTTCTACTAGCCATAGGGTTGTACCCTAAGTTTTACATTTTTATTTCACTTTCAGATTCAAATTAAACTAGTTTGTTTATAATGTAAATGATACTTTTTATCTGAATGTTACAAGATTAAAATTTCATGACATGTTAATTACAAATAAATTCATCCAGAACGGCAAATTAAACTTCAGCTGAAACTTTATTATAAAGCTAAGATCCTTTCTCCTTTAACAAGAAGCACAAAGAAAAGTCTAAGAACAATCTCTAGGATACTTGAAAAGTATAAGATCTACATCACATTTTGAACTTAGATTAACTGAGCTTAAGTTTATTGGGGGATCTCATCTTTATTTTTATTTAAGCAGCCACAGCCCCCTCTCCCACTCACAAACTTGTATTGGAGCAGGAACTCTGGGAAGAATGATTGGCTGAACTTGAAATACATTTATAGCAGGAAAAGTAAATACTTTTTCTGCACTCAATTTTCCTGATCCAGTCCCTCTTTTCCTCAAAGATACTGGCCTTGTTGGGGAAAAGATACAGTCTCTCCATATGTTTAAGCAATTTTGAAAGGATACATGTAGAAAAGGTTTATATAGACTTTTTAGCTTTCCCTTTCAAGTACTGTTGTTCTGTCAAAAGAAAAGTTTCCAAAACAATTTTCCACTAAAAACAAACATATTGGAGAGATTCAAACTTTCACATCTTCTAGTTTGGCCTTGAAATGGGATGGTCTCTCAGCAGACCTTTTCCAACTGAAGCAAAATATCTCAAGACTGGACTTAGGGAGGGTTGTGGTCTCTTGGTACCTTCATAAGCATTTTCCAAAAAGGGAATTTATTTCTGAATGCTACTTTGAATATTTTCAGGAATATAAAAATGAAAAACACGTACATCATTTGTGTTCACATGCCAAGCCATATCGCCATAGGATACTAACTGACCATTTACATAACAACGAATTTCACTGTTTCTCCAGCGATTATAGATGTGTACAATGCTAATCATGTACCACTAAAAAGAAATGGAAAACATATTATTAACAAGAAGCAACAGCATTACATTTTTAAATACCACAATACTTTTGACTATTATACAACAGTTTTTCCTTGAATATAAATGCAATTAAGTTGTCCTGTAAGAAATAAGTTATCTGTTTTGCTGAAATCTGTAGATATAACTCAACTTATTACATAAATTTAAAATTGAGAAGTGTGTAAGGCCCAATCAAACCAGAATATCCCAGCTACTATCATGTTTTCTAATGGGTGGATCATTCCTCTTTAGAATGATCCAGTTAAACCAGAATATACTTACAACTAATACTTCACAGCTGTAATGACAAAGGCTACACTCTCAGCCAGCCTTTTCTCATGAGAAATGGCAAAATGTGAAACTGAGCCAAGTACAACAGCTTTAAATGCAAAGGAGGAAAATAATGCATACTGTTCTACTCAACTCTACGCAGTACATCCTTTAGAGTGCTTAATTTCTGCGGCGTCAGTCTTGATCCTCTCCTCCAAATGATACCCTACACGTGCACAGGAAAGTACTCCAAATATTTGGTACCAGCATGTAATCTGAATAACTCATCCTTTATTTTTTACTTCCAAGGTGAGGATTACATTCCAAAAAGTGTCACCACCTGAAAACTTCCAAATACGAGACTTCTGGAATGTACATAAAAGAGTGCAGGAGCGAAACATAGACCATGTTTTACAGGAGGACAAGTTGTGTGAAGCTATTGCATGTTTATATATGTTCCTAGTCCAATCTTACTTTCTTTTACAGCTAACACTTAGAGCATAGTCTTACTGATCAGCTTAATTTGAACGAAGGCTGAGAGGAACCTCCAATGACATGCTGACTACACCAACACCAAAATACAAGACCAAAAGCTAGGAAGAAGAAAAGCACAAGTTTTGGCATGTACATGTATTTAGTGCAATGACTGTGAGTAATAAGCCTTCATTTCAGGGTTCTAAAGATATGAATATAAATGAATCTCAGGTATAAATAGGAAAAAATGTCATTCTGAAGAAAACATTGAACACAAATGTCAAAGCTGGAAACTTTCCAATTCTTAGGTGCCTCACTGAAATTAAAAATGAAGGGTAACTGGTATTTTTCATATGGTGAGACAGGCTAGAATCTAGTGAGTTGTTGCAAGATGAATATATCTTTTTGCAAATCATTTGAAGATATTGTGATTATATGCCGCAACAATCCTGTGGGCTAAGTCTGACTGAAAGCGAGTGAGTGGTCCAAGGTCACCCAGTCTGCTCCATGGGGATCTCCTAGGTCCCCAGTCCAACTTGCTAATCACCACACCATACTGACTTATTTCATAAATTACTCTATCGGCTCCAGAAAAGAACTACCACATGAACTCATATACTCTGGCATCTGCTTTGCAGAGGCTACTACATTTTCACTTACAATTGATGTGTGTTACCACCTTCTGGCATGCCAGCCTCCCATCCAACCACCAACTATAGAGATTGTCCTGAGAGCTGCACTGTGATCCCAGCCCTTACTCCAGCTTATCAGCTGGGAAAAGACTGGATTCTTTTACTACTGCATCACCAAGGCACTCAAAGCACTTCAGCTACGAATGCCGAGCCGGCAAGCCTCTTACCATTGTTTCCTGCTAGGAGGCAGAAAAGGGAAAATGGGATAAGGGAATGACAACCACAATTGTTAACATTCCCTAGGCCTAAATTATTTGAATTTTAGTTGTTTGTAGGGATAAAATTTATTTCATTTAAAATTATTAAATGCTTTATGTTCATTTTATCCCTGGCATTTTAAAACATAATCCAAATAGTGATGGAACTTTAGTAATCCTATTTATAGGTCACCTTTAACTATTTTTTACCCGCATTCCTTGGCAGACTAGAAATGTCACTGAGCAGCAAATGCAGACATACACACGATATCCCAGCCACTAGTATGTTTTCTAATGGGTGGATCATTCCTCTTTAGAAGGCCATGTATTTTAGTCACAAATATTTCTATTTTCCTATTTGTAGAAAGGCTAAGATTAAAATTAAATGCCTCCAAACAATGCTAAAGTTCAAGAAAAAATGGATTAGTTCTGAAATATCTTGAAGAACTTCTGGAAATAAACCATGTTAGCATTTCCTTAAGATATAAGCTATAGCATAATTTTGGCTTACATGAAGTATAACCTAAGTAATCTAATTATCTCTATTGCCATAGACTTCTTCATAAAAAACATAATGTACAGTGGTACCTCGGCTCACGAATGCCTCAGTTCACGACCAAATTGGGTCGTGAACAAAAATTTCATAAAAATTTTGCCGCAGGTCACGAACTCTGCATCAGGTGATGAGTGTGAGCGCGCCCACCTTCCCTGCACGGGCGCAATTGTGGCAGTGCTGGGGGGCGAGGGAAGATGGCCGCTATTGCACCAGTGTTCCCTGCCCAAGCGCACCTGTGCCTGTGCCCGTCTCCCCCTCCCTCTTTTTGTGAGTAAAAAAATATATAGTTACAGAACCGATTAACCTTATTTACATTGACCCTTATGGGGAAATTTGACTTGGCTCATGACCAATTTGGGTCATGACCAGAGTCCTGGAACAGATTAAATTTGTGAGCCAAGGTATCACTGTATCTTGTTTCCTGAAAACTGAAGAACACTTGTAGGAAAGACACAATTCACTGCAAGGGTGTCTGATAGTTGTTGCCATTCATAATATAAGTATGCTGTGCTTACCTTGCGTGGTTGAAAATCATATTTCACACAGTGCTGAAAACCTTTGCCCTTTGACTTCAGTGATGTGACTATTAAGCAGTTGCCAACAAAATGAGCAGAGTAACCAACACCTTTGCTAGTGCGAAAACTGAAATAATGAAAAAGCATTTTTAAGTCTTCCAAGAAAATTACTTTGATCTAGCAAAAACCATGAGGTACTTAATTCAACCTCTACTAAAGGACAGAATTAAAATCATCCATATATCAATACTCAATGCATACACAATCAAAAGAGCACTGTAAAAGTTTCCAGTTTACATACCAAAACTGTTGGTATTTTCTTTATTTATTTACAGTTATAGTTATGGCAAATAGCCTAAACCCTCTGTCCACAATGCAGCATAACTTATTTTCAAGTGTGCTATCCAATTGCTTTTAATGAACATTGTAAGGCACTCCTATTTGATTTCCTTAAACACACCTCTAACATATACCATTGTTGTCCCCTTTTTACAGAACAGAGTTGTCCCTTCTGGGGATTGAAGGTTACCAAATTTCAGAGAGCCAGGTTTGGGGTGACGGAATTGCAAGAGCAGCTTTTACATTTCTTTAAGGTAGTCACCCCTCTGTATTACCACTGAGTGGGCAAACTGTATGAAAAGAATGTAATTCATACAAGATTCCCTAGAAGAAAAAATCTGCTTAATTTTATTTCTATTTTAAAGTTGATTTACAAGAGGGAATTAAAAAAGGTTTTCATTTTTATCCACCTGCGGTTTTATGTGTACTTTAAATTTGTTTGTATATACGGTACAGATTCCATACCGTATGCTGCTGCATCTAAGGCAATCAGGATTATGCCTGCATTCTGAAAGACCACTACTGTAGGGCATCAGACAGGACATCAGAAGGGTATTCTGTACATCAGGGGTCCTCAAAACTTTTCAGCAGGGGGCCAGTTGAAAGGTGCCAGTGCTGGCCGCGGGACGGAAAGGTTGTGCTGGTGGTGCATGTGGGCTGGTGAAGGAGAAGGGGCAGTGCGTGCGGGCATGTGCACTGAGGTGGGGGCGGGCATGTGGCGAGGTAAGGCACGGGCAGGTGCGTGTGGCGAGGGGAGGTGAGGCAGGCGCATGAAGCACGAGGCAGCAGCTTGCTCGCTTGGAGATAATTTTCTCCGAGTGAGCAAACCGCTGCCTCCCTGTGCGCGGGGCGAGGTGGACGGCAGCAGGTGCATGCATGGGCGCAGTGGGTCCAAATAGGCATGGTGGGCCGGGTCTGGCCCCTGGGCCTTAGTTTGAGGACCCATGCTCTATAAGCACTGAGGTAGTCCTCAGTGCTTATACAGAAACACCCACACATCTATCAGACCTGCAAAGACTTTTGTTTAAAGTTAAATCAAGTACTTTAAAAAAAATCCTTTGTTATGTCTCCTGGAAAAGCCACGTTCATTCACCCTTCTCCTCCTTCTCTAATATCTGCAAAGAACTTTCTGAGTAGTAAGAAAAAAAGCTTCCCTCCACCATCTGATTTCTTTTTTTTAAGTTGTTGGCTGTTCTTTGATTTTTTTTAAAGCCTATTTGGCTTTTCCTCACAGTTGAGAACCAATTCCTCTCCCAAGCAGAGCCTTGAGTGTATGCATGATTCATTTACCTCTGAGGAAGCAGCACCATCCCAATTTAGGCCACTGGTGATGAAGTGGATTTAAAGCTTTTCCTGTTCCTTTTTCAGGCCAAAATTCTCCTCCCCACTCCCCACTTTTATAACAACCCCATTGCATGAAGGGTGGATAAAAGGACTTTTAGGAAGGAGGGAATTTTGTCTCATGAAAACAGGATATGGGAAGCTTCTCAAATTGACACAGTCTGACATGGGGGGGTACACACTCTTCATAAGAGGTAAGTCAATCATATGTCTATACATAGGCCTTTGGCTCATGCCTCAGATAACTTCACCAGCCATTATCAAATAAAGCCATAAACTAGAGGAGGAGGGGAAGGAGGACATTGACAATGTTTTTCACCATCTTGCCAGTGGTCTCTAGCCCTTTTGAACAAACCATGCTGAAGCTACTACCCTGCTGTATTTAGATGTAACCCTGGTAACCAAACCCTTGAACCCAACAGTAAGGTGGTTTGTGCATAAGCTATCCTGGCAGGTTTAGAAAACATATCAAGTCACACTGGGACAAGCATGCTGCAGAACCCACTTTCCTTAACATGTCATATGAATCCAGTAATTAACAACAAAAGGTCTTCTTGTTTCTACATGAAACTCTTTACGCAAAAACTCTTAGCTTAGTATTAAAAACACATCTGTAAGTCATTGATTAGCTTTTCCCATTTATCTGAATGGGTTAACTCTAAGCATGTCTAGATATGGATCCATCCCAATAACTTCAAACTAAGTTAATTTGTGTCTTTCTAGCCATGCAATTAGTAATGTACTAAACATTTTAAAACAATTTTCTTGACTTGCATGAACTACAGTGCTGACTAACCTTTTAAAACATCAACTTCTGCCACTTCTGATCACATACCAAATTAGCTTTTGGGAAATATTCCTTCATGTTAGATTTTGTTCCTTTGAATGGAAGGAGAAACATGTCCTCCCTTCACCTCAGAAGATCCTGCAGTATACTGACATTCTGCTTTGATTTATTTTCAAGCATCGGCACAATCTCACTCCAGGATATGTAGCAAATCTCTAATTAAATCAATTGTCAACTTGTAAAGAGTTGCTACATGTCAAAATAAGACGCACCCAAAGAGCAATAATAAGGGCTACTTTCCTTCCATTTTCTCTGCCAATCGTGTGTAAATTACCGTGTTTTTTATGTTATATTTGAATGCTATAATAATTTTCAAAAATGTATGTGGATGGATTTATGTTTCTGCTATATCCATATAAGAAGAAAATGCCTTTTCTGAAGCAGTTCAGAGACCTAGCTAGATGTTTATGGGATGTTAAATGTCACTAAATGGTAACCAAATGTCCTTTCCAACAAGGACATTTGATTGCAAAGTCTGCATCTAACCCACAAACTTATGTATTTATGGGTTAAAAATAAAATTTCACTATCTTCAATGTTATTAAAAATTTAGCACCAGAATGCTAAGTGCTGGTCAGAACACAGGAGCTAGATAGATTCTACCCATAAAGTTTATAGTACAATATCAAAACAGGGGAAATAGATAGGACTTGTTAAAGGAATAGCAGGACGAATAGCAGAAGGCACAGATAAGGTGGGATCATATCAATCCAGAGCACTTTCAAGAAGTGATTTCTTGGGTAACAGAGAATCAAGGTATAACAAACAGCATAGTACAAATATATAAGAGGGAGGAGCAAACAATAACTCTATGAGTTTGAAGAGAGTAGTTTTCAGTGGCATTTTCCTTTTGCATCCCATATACAACTGACCTCATCACTGCTACCAAAGCCTTCTATCATTCAGCTGCTTCCTTAGTATAGAAGTATAGAAACTCTACTGGAGATAAATATCTTTCAGCACTGAATAAAAAATGAACACTAATGATCCTGAAAATAATTGGGACCCAAACTGTATTTTCTCAGGGCTACTTCTTATATTGGATTATAACAATCATGTGTTGTCTAATTAGTGTACATCTGTCAAGAGGAAGAGCGATTACTAAGTTCCAGCTTGTAGCAAGTGTACCTAAACATCAGTGAACTTATTATATATCTTCTGCAAGTAAAACATGTTTTCAGTTAAACCTCCAATGTTTCAAATAGCATAATTTGGAGAAGAACATTTTTTATCAAAAGGAAACATTTCTCAATTCCTAATCACAGCTCCAACAGTTTTTATTTCATATAATCTTGTCTAATGATCCCTGAAAAAGTGCTACTGGCGAGAGTGATGAACAAACTCTTTAAGCTGGACTTAAAGATTACTGCCTTGCACTCTCCTTTTTGACTTTGTTACAACTTAGAATTAAAATGTATTCAATCAGCATTGTTACTGTTTAACATACAGAAGATTCTCAGCTCTGAAGTGGCTTTTTTTCTGGCACAGAAGTTATATAAACAAAAACTAACTTGTTGGTTACATAAACATTCACACCATAGTACTTAATACAAGGACCTTTGGCTGCAATTATAGCCATGAGTCTTCTTGCTTAAGTCTCTATCAGCTTTGTGTATATAGATCCTGCAGTGTTTGTCCATTCTTCCTGGCAAAACAGTTCCAGCTCTGTCAGGCTAAATGGGAACCAATGAGGAACAGCAACTTTCAAACCCTGCCACAGATTCTGTGTCAGACGTTTGTCTGGGATTTGATTGGACCGTACTAAGACTCAGATTCCTGTGTCTAAACCACTTGCATCTTTAGCTGTGTGTTTAGGGTCTCTATCCTGACGGAAGATGTACCTCCACCCAGTTCCAAAGTCCCTTGCAGTATGGGACAAGTTTTTCTCTAGAACTGCCCTGCACTTGGCTCCATCCCTCTTGCATTCAATCCTGACCAGTTTTCCAGATGCTGCTGCAAAAAAGCATCCTCACAGTCTGATGCTGCTATCTCCATTTTCACTAAGGAGATAGTATGTTCAAACAATGAACACTGTTGGTTTTGTATCATACATCATAATTTGCAGCAAGGCCAAACAGGACCAAAAGGACAAGAAACTGTTTTCCACATGTTTATCATGTCTCCCATATGCCTTCTTGCAAGTCCAAACAGACTTTGATACTACTTTCCCATAAAGCCCATTATTGTGGAGCATCTGGGTAATAGTTAGCTTGTGGAAAGTTTCTCCCATTTTAGCTGCAGATCTCTCCCGCTCATTCAGAGTCCCCATTGGCCTCTTGGTTAATTCTATAACAAATCCCTTCCTTATATAGTTACTGAGTTTTGGTGGACAGTCCTGCCTAGGCAGCATTGAAATTAAGATGTTTTTCCTTTTTTATAATAATGGATTTAACTGTTGTCCAGAAGATGTTCATGGTCTGCAATATTTTTTAAAACCCAACTCTGATTAGTACCTCTGCACAACTTTATCTCAGAGATAGTTCCTTCATTTTCATGATGTTTTTCATTTAGGTGCTGCTCATCATCTAATCTGAGAACATGTCACACTAGAACTGCACACGGGTGTATTCCATTCAACTACTCTGCTTTCAATATGTGACTTCTAGAGACAGCGAGTTGCATCAGAGTTTATTTGAACTTGCCATAGCAGATCCATTTCAATTTCAGGTTGTAACACACAATGTGGAAAAGTTAAATGGGGATAAATACTTCTGCGATGCATTCTTAAGTTTTGTTCTTATCCAATACTCTTAAAGTCTATGCTTAAGCATATGCATTAAAGCAAAAGAAAACTACTGTATTTAAGTACTAATTCCAGTCAGTGCTGCAGTAGTCATAAGTGTATTTTGCTTCACAACTTTATTCCTATACAGGACTCAGGTTCTTTTCTGTATCTTGGTGAACCAAGCTGGAAGGACACCACAGATATGGACATATAATGAATGACAAAATATATTTTTGATTATAACTTTATTTTCTTTGTGCAACAAGGACCAAAAAATTGTTTAAACATGTGAAAAGCTCAACAGGGCCAAAATAAAATTATGTGCAGGCTAATTTCAACCTAGAGTACATTAGACACTCCTGGTCCAAGTAATAAACTTAGAACTTTCATTGGTAATTTCTTAGTGCTATACTTAAATTATTTACGTTTAAGTTTAATTCATGAAGCTATAAATATTCTAATCCAAAGTAAAAATATTCAGAGATGTAATTTACTGTATTAACAGCACAGTCCTATGCATGTTTAGCCAAAAATGGCAAGTTGGGGAATGGTAGTAGGAATATTTTTTGTCTAAACATGCATAGGACAGATATTTAATTGCTTGAATTTTATGTATGTTTAGGATGGGAGATTCAATTAATTATACAAGGAATTTTCTATTTTTCAGGATCCTTTTTATCAGTTTACAACTATTTCTTAAAAGTCATCTTTCACACTGAAAGAAACAAATATTACAATTTAGCAAGTATTGAAAATGAATTTTTAAAATAATACAACTGTGCTATAATTTTCACTTACCAATAGAGATACGGTTTATCCTTATCTACATTAATATTATTCAATGGATCCATGCGAAACCAGGTATTAAGAGTAAACCCATTTTGATAAGGCCACTTGGCAATAGGAGGCAATGCAATTGCCTACAAAATGAAACAAAATAGAAACATGAATTGTGTTATAATGCTAAATTAGATTTAGAGAAAATAAATCTGCAATCCTGTTGCAAGGAAATCTGCAAACTCAAGTTTGTCAAGCTATCCTAATTCACTCAGCAAGACTGGTTTTCAGTAGACAAACAAGACCTTAAAATCTCTCAGCAACAGTTTACTGCTTGACTTTTTCAACTGCCCATCTTTTTCTTGTGCTAGTTATATTAGCATGCTGTTATCAAGTGTTAAACCTGCAGTATAGCCTGGCTATAAACTATTTCACTGTGAAAAATGTATTAGCTCAATACATACACTAAATATTAAAGTACAGAAAATATTGTAGCAAGTGGCACGAGAGAGAAAATTTGCACAAACTATATTCTCAAAATCCACTAAATGAATTTATCTAATTGTTAAAGGATTAACTTTTACTTTGCAAGGAAGGTATTGGTTAAAACTTACTGCAGCACTGCAGCCTGGGAAGTTGAAAAAAGTATCAGGACCATGTCTCTGTGGCATCTGGTTAAGGACTGACAACAGCTTGACTGCATGTTTAGGCTGTAAAAACAATGAAATTGTGAAATTATAAAGTATAACCATTTGTGCATAATTCTACCAACCAGTTCTGCAAGAAGAATAACTAGAAATTAACCTTCAAGAAGTTACCAGAAGCAATTTTTAAAAGAATGCAATCAATTAGCTCAACTTGTTACTTCATACAACTTTGCAGAACAATAAATTGTAAGTATCTTCTTATTAGCTACATACCCAAATTCCATTTTCACCACGTAGCATGCTGAACAAAAGCTTCAACTCCTTGACAGTAATACTGTAGCTGGCAAGAACTCCCAACATATCAACGAGAAGATCTTCAAAGAAAAATAAAATTACTCTAATATTTGTTTACATTCCTGTCAAAGTCTGCTTCACAGGTACAAGATGGATTGGCCTTAAAACTAGCATTTCTGAATGCTCGATTCCTTATTACCACCTTCTGCAATTCTACTAACTACAATTTCATGCTCCTGATATAAACAAAACAAGACATTTGTGTGAATACTAGCTTACCTTTTTATGGAATTTTATTTGCTTTTTAATGTAACATATTGGCCACTGCCTTGGGCATCCTTACCCTTTGTCCTATTTGGACTTCAGGATGCTACATAACAGAAATTATTTCATAATATAATATAAAATACCAAAATACAACAGAACAGCAAACATAGTATTTAGTAGAGTTTAAAATGACAACACATTTTTGCCAAGTGAGCATGTTTAGGGAGCATATGCTATAACTACGGTTCCTCTCTGTTATTCTATAACATACTCTAATAAAGGAAGTGCTTGGAGAAGATCTTAATGCACAGTCAGTTTGGTGTGGAAATAAAATATTTGGCCAACACCATTTAGGGCTTTAAAGCATGGCAAATTAATTTAGTGTAAAAAGAAGTTCAGACAAAATAATTAGAGGTAGTTGGTGAAAAGCTGTTAATGGCCAAACTAGTGGTTTTCCAAAATACATTTATATTCTGCCAGCATGCTTACAGTATCCAAGTAAGTGTACTGACCCATCTCCTTTTTTAAAGTTTGTCTAACAAACTAGGGCTGTCACACAGATATGGAAATCTTGTTAAACTACTCTGAGTTTAGTTAAACAAACAAACAATTAATTCTGCACAAAGATGCATTGACTATTTCAAGTTGGGACTTTGTAGCAAGTATCTCATTAGAACCCACCCAGTCCAACACATTAGACAGGACATCCCCTTGACCTTGTGTTCTCAATAATGTGTGAGACTGGGGATCTGGCATTAGAGGTATTTTCTCTGATCCCACTGTTATGGGCAGATCACTTCCTGGTCAGACTGTGAATGGACATTCCCCTTATGATTAAGATGGTCCACCCCGGAAACTGATAGAATCTGAGGAATTTCAGAGAGCTGTTGGAGACTTACTGATTAGCATAGCTGGTGCTCCATATGGTGAGATGGATTGGGCTATCAGCATAAGGAAAAGAGACAATAGGTACAGCACTACATAGTGAACTATAAAGGCATTATGCATGTCAGAGAATATAGATGAGCACAAGCTACAAGGAATCTAACAGAAAACTGTTGATATGTGTGAAATAACAGGATAACATATGTACAATCATGCTTTAAATGTGTGAAATACAAAGAATACTAACATAGTTTGGAAGGGGCGGGGCGGGAAGGGAAGGGGCGGGGGGGACAGACAAGACAAAACAAGAAAAGACAAGACAAGACAAAACAAGGGACTTTTATTGCTCTATACTCTCTATATCTCACTATCGCTGTTAGGAAAGTCAATTAAAATACTGATAACAGCAGATTCTTATTTAACTTAGTGCGGTTGAGATTTTCTAACTTAATTTTTAGTATTAGTTCTGTAGGTTTTAAAGGCTTGAAAATCTTGTACAAAATATCCACTTTCCTCTCCCCAACAAAATGCTAAGTTTGCAAAACTACTCTCTAAATATAAACAAACACAATTTTCCTAATTTATATTTCTGAGATGGTGAGGTTCCACAAATGTTTATTTAATTATTACAGTTTTTAAATGAACCTAAAAGCATGATCTCAGAATTAGTTATATCCTATTGCCATATTTCTTCAAAGTACTCACAATTTCATTAATTGCAAAGCATGTTGACATTAGTTGAACATAGCTGATAAAACCAATGAGATGTTAATTGCTAATGATGGCCTATTTTTATGTCATACTCCATCTGTTCTCACACAAATTCAGCTAAAAAAACTGTAAAGTATCAGTTTTTCATAGTGTTCAGAAACATTTATATTATACTCATCCATTTATATACCTGCAATCATATCATCCACAGTACTCATCTTCAGTAGCACTTGTTCAATTAAACCAACTTCTGTGCTGGTCTGTAAATTGCGGACACTTTTACGCAGGATGGCGGTAAACATGCTCCAAATTTCTGCTTGGCATGTAACATCACAGTGCTCTAAAAGTTCTGACATGCATGTTATACTTTCTGCATCCTGGATTATAAAGTTCATCTCTAGATCGAATTCACCACCAACCAGCTGAAAGCAAACACATATGAAAAGAAATGTTAATTAATTTTCCAGGTTCTAAGAATTTAAGCAGGCTACATTAAGCAACTCTTGATGCTTACTTAACCTTTTGTGACCTATGAAAATCAACCTACTTTTATCAAGAGCCTATCTGAATTTTTCCACTGGCATTCCAGGTATGCATGAAGAGATGAAGCCAAGTCATGACAATAAATGTATCTTTGCTGTATGAGTGGTCTGATGTAGATAAAAAAGAAACACCTGATATTATGTTAACAAATACACTAAACATATTTTAAGGTCATAATATGTGCATGTGAATATTATGCACATATTCCAGGTTCACACAATCAGTAGAGCCTACAGTGGCTTACAGCACATGCCAGCAGCCATTTGGAATATTTAAAACCCAACAGGGTATTGCCATGGTTTATAGTGTTGCCTGAATTCAAGCAGGAGTTGCTTGAGAGCTAAAAAGGCCTCAATCTAATAAAGGAATTTAAGTCTAATAAATTATGTATTCTGTTCTCATAATTGCAAAGGCACCAAAGGTTCTGTAAAGGAGCAAGAAAAACATTCTGTCATAGGACTACTGTAATGTGGGGTTGCCTTTGAAGATGGTCCAGAAACTTCAATTTCAAGCTAGTCTGTACACCCACATTACACATATGTTATACCACCTGCACTGACTACCAGTTGAGGCCCAACCTCAATTTAAAGTGCTTTTATTGACATATAAAGCCCTAAAAGACTTGGGAGCAGGATACCTGAAGGACCACCTACTCCCATATGTAGGTACCCATCCGCTAAGATCTGGATTAGAGGTGGTCCTTCTTAAAGAACCATTCCCCAAAGAAGTGAGGGCGAAGGCAAAAGAACGAGGGCTTTCTCAGTGCTTGTGCCCCATCGCTGGAATAGGCTCCCGAAAGAAATTTGCCTGGTGCCTTCATTTCTACTGTTGCAGCGCCAGGCAAGACTGTTCTGTTTTCCAGATATTTTAATAGATTGCACTTTCTCTAATGCTCTCTCTCTAGGGGTGGGGTAAGGTGTGTGTGTATACACACACACACACACACACACACACACACACAGAGGGGGGAAGGGGGAGACTGCCAGGGGTACTAAGATAACTTTTTAAAGTGTATGTGATCCTGCTACTTCAAATTAAAATTAGCTTAAGAAAAGAGATGCTAAATGGAACACTAGGATATCATAATCAAACAGGATATTACATTAGAATTCCAGCTACATATACAACTTACAGCAGTATAAAAATAGTCCATAATATTCAAAAAAACACACAAACATGTTCAGTTGCATTCTACATTAATTTTTAAATGTAAGCTAGAAAGAAGCAGTGTCCTTGTATATGCTTACTGACTCTAACAAAGCTAAGAATGGTTATTTTTGTTTGGGGAAGGGGCAACAACTTAACTATTACCCCAAAAGGGTTTATTAAGTTATATTTAATATAAAGCCAATAAATATGGTAACAAAAATACCTTTTAGTGACTAGTAAAGTAAGAACTAGCAAATTATATAACTGTTCAAATGCTACCTCAATACATCATTGCTTTTGTATTTCACAGTCTAATCAATTCCTCCTTCAGTGTCAATCTTCAAATTTTATGTTTATACCTGATGGAATATTAAAAATCTGATTTTATGCCATTTTGCTGCATAAGACTGCATAAGAAAGTCTATTAAGACTTTCATACCACCCCCCCTCCTCTTGATTACAGCTGTAAAACCATGTTTTACATTTCAACATGCGAATTCATTCTCAACAAACCTTGTTTTTCTGAATCATACGAGAAAGGTCACTTTTATATCCTGCCACCAGATATACATTTCTATTTATATTAAGTTTCATTTAATTAGAGTTATAACTTTGTATAATCTGTTGCCTCATTGGTTTCTTGTAACTCAGATTGGTGCAATATTTGTCTACTTTACTTACTTACTTACTTACATACTTACTATTTACTTAAATGAATAAAGCAAATAGACCCCATGTCAAATGCAAAGACTTGCATTGTTCTGGAAACAAATGTTAAGTAACACCTTTCAAGAGTAAATTTAAAACATGATCTGCCAGCTTCCGCATGTTACTGACCAAGTGCCCTCAGCAATTCATGGCCTACTTCTCTCCAGGTTAGGCCACAGCAATGCTTTCTAAGTGTGGCTGCCCTTGAAAACAGTTTCAAAAATTGTAATCAGCTAAAACACAGCTGCCAGATTCTGAAGGACACAAAGTGAAGAAAGTAAAAGCATATCATTGTAATCCTGTTGCAGATACATTAGCTACCTTTTTGTTCCAGGCTCCATTTTAAGTCCTGATACTAGTTTTTAATGGCTTACATACAAGATGACTTAAGAACTATCTTCCGCCATATAAGGCTGTCTGATTTTAAGTTCAATCTCACTGGCTCTCTGTGTCCTATAATCATATAAGATGAAATAAAGTGATACTCAAGGTAGAGGACTCTGATGAGGACAAAGTTAGGTCACTTTCTCCAGGGAATGACTCCAATCAGCTTTTCTGGAGGTTACTTAAAAGTTAAGCAGACTACAGGTCTCATCAAACTGCATAAGGCTTAAGTTCTCTGCTGAGACAACAATTTCCTATAACTGTCCTCCAAGGACAAAGTTGCAGTGAGCAGGACTTACTTGGAACTATCCAAGGTCTTTATTTCATTTGCTTCATAAGTAGGGATCTGATTTGACTGTTTCCACTAAGGCAAAATGCTCAGCAGCTTTAGCTTCCTTGTATGCATAAGTTAGCATAAAGTTTTGCAGCAACATGTCTTAAATTAACTCCAGAAGAAATTTATTCATTTATACTCATTCTTTTTTTCACTTATTTTTAAAATAAAATCTGAGAATGATTTAACACTGGTGCTTTGTATGTCATATGCGTGATTATCTTTCATTAGCCAAGATTTTTTAAAGCTAAGCTTCATTTGCAAATGTGCACATAACTGTGTATAAATAAATAATCATACTGTGTATTAATTTATGCCATTTTAAGTTCCACATTTGAGCTTAAACACCAGTTTTTATCATTTTTATTCAGAGTCCTTTACTCCCCATAAAAATGGTTTTTCCTTATCTAAGAAACAGATACACACTATACCATATTAAACTCAGCTCTTAGAAACAGCTCTTTCCTAGAGCTATTTCTGTGCCCCAAGACCTTTCCTATTCTGGCAAATTCTCCTTCATCTGAGTTTTTCATTAATTTCAACAAATGTGAGGACAGGGAAGTGTTTCCCTGAATGAGGTACAACTTCTCAGGAACATCTCTAGATCTTTTACAGGCATATGACAATAACCAAAGTGCCTACAGAGTAGGCGAAAAATACGCAAATTTGCACAAGACCATTCTTTGAGAATTGCATGAGAGGAGAAATACAATATGGTGATACCTTTCAGCATACTTTATTAAATACCTTCAATTGTTTGCATGGACCATTAGCTCAGAAAAGAAAAGACTTCACGCTTAATCCCCCCTCTTCCCCTTCTTATACTCTTGCATTAAAGTAGAAACCAAGAGTGCAAAACATCTGAGAATTGCATGCTTACTTGCTCTCCAGGCTTTAAATATGTGCTTTCTTTTATGGAAGGCTCTTGCTAAAGCTAGTAAAAGGTACATAAATTAACTACGGCTATTTTGCTGGACTCTCAGTTGAAAAGCAATAGATGCTTATTGTAAGGAAGTCCCATTGAAACTGCGACATACTTCTGAATAAAAATGTATAGGATTTCACTCAAAGTCTCCATCAGTAGTTTTCTTTTAAGTGCCTCAATATGTAACAATCCATTTAAACCCCTTTCTTTCCTTTTCCTTTTTTCCCCTTAGAGCATTATTTCTTAAATTAGGCTATTAAAATCTGTCCTCTACTGGGCAATGGACCTCTAGCCCAGTACTGTCAACACTGCCTAGCAGTTTCGGACAGGAATCTTTACGACCCCTACCTGGAGATGTTACAAATTGTACCAGGAACCTTCTGCATGCAGGCAAGTTCGCACTACTGAGCTACAGCTTCTCTCTTACAGATTTCCTTGGAGTAATCTGCCAGACCCACATACTGACAGTGGGAGCAATGGAAGTCAATGCTGGCAGGGGCTAAAGGCAAACGTGGGTATGATAATGTGGCATCTTTCATTAGAAGTGAGGCCCACTAAAATTATGACAGTATTGGAATCCACAATTACTAGACATTTGAACAAGAGCACTTGGTTAGCATGTTCAGACATAATTCTAAAAATTCTAGACTTTTTAAAATAATATGCACAACAAAGAGTTAAGCATCCTTAAGGAAAATTTTAAAAATCAGTTTAAGTTACCATATGGTCACCCAACAAACCTATACTAAACTTGAAAATTTTGATACTGATAATCAAAACAAAACTGTATTAATCACTAGCATGTTTTAACTTTTCCTGTTAATTTACTCAATAATTCATATTTGAATTGTTGCTTCTAGCAATTATTTTAGTGTATTCCAGACTAAGTAAATTTACAATGCTTTCAAATTGAATATTGTCACAATCCTATCAATTGTGCCCTAATTTTTGAAACATCTGACCTTGGAGGAGTCCAAGATTGATGTGCCATGAAGCTGGCAGAGTGTGAGAAGAAGCAAAGGCTGTCTTCATCTTCCCATACCTTGTCTTTGTTAACTTTGCAAGAGCACAGCAGAGGTGAGGGAAGGGTTAAGGTTGGAAACATAGTATCATTCATATCCTGGGCTCACCAGTCTCCTCCTCTCCCTGCCGACTAGAATACGGGCAATCACCAAGTTATGAATACCCAAGTTACAAACAACCTGTACTTACAAACGAATTGCCATAATGTCTATTACAGTAAAAACTTCATACCTGCTGTTTCCATTACCACAGTTTCACTTAACTGCAGTTGAAAAAATAAATACAGTCAGCCCTCCACATTCATGGGCATTAGGGGCACAGGACCCCTGCAAGAGTGGAAAAACCACAATGCCAGA